ATAATAAGGAAGAAAAGTCCTCCTGAATTCTGATTGGTCCATTTTATCGACCAATCAGATTGCAGGATACTAGTTTTCAGCTATAGATAAGGAGGGGCCCCGTACATATACCTCTCATTCGATAGAGCGTCCTCGATAACCATAGGATCTGCCCGAACATGACCAGGTATTGTCCTTATAATAAGCAAGGAAAGTCCTCCTGAAATCTGATTGGTTCATAACAGTTCACGATAGGGCATCGTACACGGCGGTATACGGCGTCGTACATGGTCGTGTACGGTCGTATCTGCTCGCCGTAGTGGTAGACCTGGGTGTATTGAAGATTGTTATTTTGGATTTGCGTGCGTTATTTGTGCGTTCAGATGCTTTGATGGCCTTGAATATTGTATTTGATGGGTTATCAACAGTGGGAACCGATCGGATTGCGTTACTAAGGTTAATGTTGGCTGCCGAAGGTGGTTTTCGATCGGTTCCTTTCCGGTAGCTTCCGATAGGATCTCGACAGTAAGATCCGATAGGACTGCCGATACCAGGGATTCCGTCACATTTCCGTCACCGGTTTTCCGGGAAAATCCGATAGGATCCGGCCGAATTTCGCAGGAATCCGATAGGATGCCGATCGGATCCGAGACGGAACCTATCCGATCCTACTATCAGATTGGTCGACCTGGGTCTGAAGTCTCTTTGTCGCGGTCTGCGATGGGTTTGGAGCTTCTCTGTCACAGTCTGTAATGATTATTAATTTTCTATCACGGTCTGTGACGGTCTCTGAGGGTTCTCTGCCACAGTCTGTAATGGTCTCTGGGGTTTCTCTGTCACGGTCTGTGATGGTCTCTGTAGTCCCTGCGTCACGATCTATGATAGTCTTTGGGGACTCTCTGTCACGGTCAGTGATGGTCTTTGGGAGTTCTCTGTCACGGTCTGTGATGGTCTTTGGGAGTTCTCTGTCACGGTCTGTAATGGTCTCTAGTGTCCTTCTGTCACGGTCTGTGATGGTCTCTGGAGTCCCTCTGTCACGGTCTG